CTTTGCAACCATACTCCCCCCGGAGTCCAAAATCTTTGGTTTCCCGGAAGCTGCCCGCCGAGCCATCGTAGTAACGTCGGCGGATCGCTAGATGACATATTTACGGTTAGAACTAGGGCGGTATCTAATCGCCTTCGAACCTCTAACTTTCGTTCTTGATTGATGAAAACACCTTTGGCAAATGCTTTCGCTGATGTTCGTCTTGCGACGATCCAAGAATTTCACCTCTAACGTCGCAATACGAATGCCCCCAGTTATCCCTATTAATCATTACCTCGGAGTTCTGAAAACCAACAAAATAGAACCGAGATCATATTCTATTATTCCATGCACGAAATATTCAAGCAGCATTTTGAGCCCGCTTTGAGCACTCTAATTTGTTCAAAGTAAAATTGTCGGCCCATCTCGACACTCACCGAAGAGCACCGCGATAGGATTTTGATATTGAACCGCCGTTTTACCGACGGCTCACCGACGATATGCTCCGCAGACGTGTCAGTATCACCGCGGATGCGGTGCACCAACAGCGCGGCGCACAAATGCAACTACGAGCTTTTTAACCGCAACAATTTTAGTATACGCTATTGGAGCTGGAGTTACCGCGGCTGCTGGCACCAGACTTGCCCTCCAATTGTTCCTCGTTAAAATATTTAAAGTGTACTCATTCCGATTACGAGGCCTCGTAAGAGTCCCGTATCGTTATTTTTCGTCACTACCTCCCCGTGCCGGGAGTGGGTAATTTGCGCGCCTGCTGCCTTCCTTGGATGTGGTAGCCGTTTCTCAGGCTCCCTCTCCGGAATCGAACCCTGATTCCCCGTTACCCGTGACAACCATGGTAGTCGCAGAAACTACCATCGAAAGTTGATAAGGCAGACATTTGAAAGATGCGTCGCCGGTGCTGGACCATGCGATCGGCAAAAGTTATCCAGATTCATCAAAATTAACGACTTCGGACGCGAGGCCCTCCGTCGATTGGTTTTGATCTAATAAAATCACTCATCCCATCACTGGTCAGAGTTCTGATTGCATGTATTAGCTCTAGAATTACCACAGTTATCCAAGTAACCGAGGTAAGATCTAAGGAACCAAAACTGATATATTGAGCCATTCGCGGTATCGCCTTAATACGGCTTGCACTGAGACATGCATGGCTTAATCTTTGAGACAAGCATATAACTACTGGCAGGATCAACCAGGGAGCTGACAGAGAGAACTTGAGTCTCGTTGTCACTATACACTCCGAGACCACACGTGCAACGCGACGCGCAAGCGTTTTAACGCTAAAACGCACCGGTGCCGTATGAGAGAATATATGAATTCTTATTCAGTCTGGTCACGGGCGAGATCGGGTATCTCACGTCACTCGCACGTATTAACCCAGACCTACTGCGGACGACGTTCAAGTGCGCCCAATTCATAGAACGTTCAACAACGAGACAACTGTGTGAATACTTCACTATGTTAATAATCATTTAACACATTTGATATTATTTTCGTGAATAACACAAACGACATATATCGCCCGGTGTTAGAGAGATCATATCCATTTTTTAAAATAAAATACCGTCCCGCGAATACGATTATAAAAAACGCACCACGGCGACGAGCATAATTTAACGGACGTTAACGATGGACGCGAAGTCAACTCGCTCACCGAACGTGTACCGCGTTAATTAAACGAACGCTCAAATACGTCTTACCGCTTCAATAAACGGAGACGTCGTTCGACACAGTTCAACAACGACGATCATAATATATAAATATATAATATAATAAATATTATAAATAAATATCATATTTTATATTTATATTTATAATATATCAATCGCACAACACCACAAAACATCTAATCTAACAAAACACATGAGACTTGAAAATTTGTCGTATTGTGAGATTCGACTAGCACCGCTCGTGCTTCGTCTATACATATGTACGACTGCAGATATGCGTCTCCGGCGGTTCGTGTATTGAACGAATAGTTCGCTAAGACACGGAAAGTGTTCGCGTATACGCATAACATTATGACGAGCCGTCATCATAGGGTTACTTTAATACTTACCTGTCTCACGACGGATTATCATGATCATCACCCACACCAGGACCACCACCATCATCACGATCACCACCACCACCATCACCAACCACCGCCATCGTAATCATCATGATCGTCGTCGTCGTCGTCACCATCATCATCGTCAGCATCATCATCAGCATCATCATCATCAGCATCATCAACAGCAGCAGCAGCAGCAGCAGCAGCAGCAGCAGCAGCATCGTCGTCGTCGTCACGTCGTCACGTCGTCTTCATCGTCATCATCATCATAATCATCATCATCATCATCATCATCATCATCACATCAGATAGATCACCGTCCTGAGCTGTGCCACCTGCACATCGATCGACTGCTTACTTACTCACCACACACATCTCATCATGTCAGTTTATCACGAATAAATTCTTTAGATGTGCGTTCGCGTATAATAATTTTTTTCACAATGCATCTTCAAAGTCACTGAGCGTGTTCGCGTATAAACATAACATAATAAATATAATTGTATTTATTGTATCCTCTCACCTATTACCAGTGATGAACATAGTCATGTATCCATCAAACAAGGAATGATGTAACAAATAACGCGAAGTGTTCGCGTATCGACATAACATTTTTATAAGTAACCTTTTAAAGTAAACTCTTCTAATGATGTGTGGTACCTTTTTCCTTGTAACTGTTTTTATATATTATTTATTCTTGGTGAACATCTGATATTGTATACATACACTTTAATAGTTTACATTTCCATTATATCCGTGCAACAATATGTAAATTTAATGACCGTTTAAAATTTAAAATATAATTTTATTATTATTTTATTTTATAATCATATGTCAATTTGACAATTTATCAATTTATCACATAGATGATAGATTTACTTTTTTATAATAATATTATGTATACTTTATATAGAACCTGCGTGAAGCGAAAAATAAAAACATAAATACATCATATAATAACTACATTGTAAATTTTTCTTTTTTACGTAG